AAATTTAAATTTCCAATTCCACTCCAACGGCGCGGCTCCCGTAAGGGCAGCTAAATCCTTGGCTGAGGCATACACATGCCTGAAGAAGGTGTTAAACACCGAAATATAGCAGAAGATTTCAAAGGAGTTCTTTTTGAAACTTTTCCGTTTTTTGGAATTTTGGAGTTTTTCGAATAATTTGTGAACTTTTGGGACTCTTTTGAAATAAATTTTGGTGCCTCTTTGTGTTTTATAACATTTATTCATTAAACTTCTTCGAGTCAGCACATGTGGAAAAGATTCCGGGATTCGAAGGCTGCAATAGTGTTACCCGCTACCGCGATTGAGGTTTATTGCTTATTTGGTCCAACTCAGACATTGCTCCTCAAAACTGAGGCTCGGCAAAGTTTCGTTTTCGGAATAATTGCTTGTGTCATCGCATCCATCGCCATTGTTAGCAATTGTTTCGGTGTAGTTGAAAAGGGCTGAAAGAGCGAAATACAAGCCAGAAGCTGAGCATGAAGGGTCCATCCTGAAGGAGCGGACCAAGAATGCGCCACACATCTGACCCCTGCGTGATATTGTAGCACCAATTGTATTCGCAGTGGGTTAACACGGCGGCTTCTCTGCAGTGCTCGAATTGAAGTTTATACTCGTAAGTCACTTCGTCTTCATGGCGTTCAGAAATAGGAGTGGATCAAACCACTTACTTGATTCGTTCGCGATACATATTCTGCCTGCAGTCGTAATGCTCACTTCTATGTATAATTCGTGCGCTTTCCTTAATTCTAAGCGCGCTTTGAAGTCTGTAGTTCAGAATGCGTGTTTCGGAATGCAGAACTTGAGCTGTGACTCACTTTTTCATCAGAGGCTGCGCACGTCATTCAATTTTTGTTTCGTAATGCATTTGGTACAGGAGAGAGCAGTTTCCGTATGGGATTCAAGAGCCGAACATATTACATAAGCGCGAAAATTGAAAGCTATCTTCAGTAAATGTGGTGACCGAAGTGTCGCCGAACTCGGAATGCCATTATATTATTGTGCAATTTTACTGTTACGATATTTTATCTACTATCTATGCCATATGTAAACGCGTGCCTTTCATATTATTATTTTTAATTCAAAGGAACGGGTACCCCCCAGGAAGGCCCGTCGCGCGACAAGAAGGCGAGTCAGCGGACGAGTTCCGCGCGTACTGTAGGGATTTCGCGTCAAGTTAAATAGAATGTTCCATTGTACGTCCTACATCGCTCATCACGCTGCGACTCGTCCGCGACTCTGCCTTCTTGCCGCGCGACGGGCCTCCTGGGGAGAGGGGGGTACCAACAAGAAAATACACTAACACGATGCTAAGAAACCTCTCTCCTCCACCTACATATTTTACTTCAGTTGGGTTGAAATTCGAACTAGCTCCCATTATGTGGCTCAAAAGACCGGACTTCCGAATTGAGCGGTGCCGTGTGGCTCCTCACCGATGTAGGTTTTGTTGGCTTTGACCAAGGGGTGTCCCCCAAGAGGCCCGTCGCGCGGCGAAGGAAGAGACGCAGACGCGGCAAAGGACGAGTCGCAGCGCGTGCTGTCCGATATGAGACGTAGTATGGTACACTCTACTTAACTGACGCCTAACCGCTGCTAGTATGCGCTGCGACTCGTCCTTTCGCCGCGCGACGGGCCTCTTGTTCGACACCCTTGACTAAGAACTGAGTTTAAATGGCTCAAACCTCTTTAGCGTCTTCTAAAGCTCCTATCTTTTTGTCAGAGCTTTTGCAATTTGTTTACTATTTGCTGATGATTATTGCCGTACATATGTTCACTGATAAGCTGGGCGATTACGATTGCAGCCCATTTATGGAAGAGTAGTTGTACGCTTTGACTCATACTGCATAGTTATCCATGTTTGTTGCGAGTCATTACGAGATACTGCTGTAAAGCTGTAGTATACAACTGTGAAACTGCTTCATAGCACTGAAATATAGTAAAAACTACAATGTTAAACTATGACATAAAGCTGAGCTATAATATTCATGTTTCTCGGTACAAATCTAGCCACACAATAACGCTGCGTGTATATTAGGAGATCGTTGACGTAATCGCAATTCAAAAATTGGCAAACGTACAAATTTGCTGCATTAAAACACGTACGTTTCGAAATGTAAAGGGTATGCGTGGCGCATCCTCACAATGAATGAATGACGCAAATCTCTTTCTAGGCTGCGACAAATTTTAGACAAAAAAAGATTGTTCTATAGTATTTTCAGCAACTTCGTCGCCAGTGTGTCGTCGTGAATGAGCTAGGGCGTTCTGTACGTTTTCGAACCAGGGTCGGTCCTAACCGCTTGCCGTACCGTGTTTTTTCCCCAAAAATTTTTTACGACCCCCTCTACAAATGAAAAATTTCGCGACCCTCCCCCCTCACCACCCTCGCCATCATGATCGCTGTTTCTATTGCATTTAATTCTGAGACCAGCCGACACACCCAGCTCCACCCACGGCAAGGGGTAATACGTCGGCGACAGGCAAAATTTTTTTCGCTCCTTCGCCACTAAACGCCCTGAACTTACCCTTCAATTCTAAGATCAAGTCAACTTTGACCTCCACCCCCTTCCACCTACAATCTCAACAAAAACGACTCTCCCCCCCGCTGGCACTTGTCGCAGCATAGGATTGACTCTGTGTCGAACCGGTTATTCCTCAGTTTTGTTCGTATTTATCATTTTGGTCGGCGAAAGGCGGACTCTTGTGCTTTATTTTCATGAATTCCTTTTTGGGCCCAAAATTCCAAAAACCTACCGCCTGACTTTCACGCTCTTACGATTGCTCCGTTTCGTCCTGTGGGTCTGTTTCGGATATTTGTGAGTTCATGGAATTCGAAAGCCCTGCTATGGTGAATAATCCCCCGCCGTTAGGTGAACCACTTTTGGACGCCCAAAGAATGCAGCGCAAAGGGGTATCGATAGTGATCGCTCGATCCTGAGTTTTCAAGTTCTGCCTGGTCAACTGAGTTAAACGCTTTCCACATATCATTGATCTGACAAAAAGCTGCTTAAACTTTTTGTGATCCGCAAATACCTCGTCAGACCAACCGTGCTATTGGGCGCCCACACAATCTGGACGAAGGTCAGGTGTGTGGCCGATTCCGAGCGAAGTTTGATTCTGTGATTACTCGATTTGTATTCGTTGCCGGAGGTGGATCAGAAGAGGGTTGCATTTAACTACAGTAATCCCGATATTAGCTTATTTTGTTCCTACCCCTTGTACTAAAGCAGTGCAAGCCACACAGAGCGTCCTCAATCGATATTTCCCTCAAGACCTTATTAACCTATCATTGTGCTAGTATAGTTCGCCTCATCAGCACGACGGGCATGCGCCCTTGATCGCTGAGCGCCTAATTGTTTGGCGCAGAGCGTTACTCGCACTGAAATTGGCTACTAATGATACATTAAGCCGTGTGAACTACTCGTGCAACCGCGTTTCTGCCTTTGCGCTATGGAACATCGAGAAAATTATTCATGAGATGACTTCTCGCCATGGACTCGTTAACAGTAGCACGAGTTCTTAATCTTTATTCACTGGTGGTCGCTGACAAAAACTTCAAGATAAAGGTCACCAACAAGGCAAAGCTGTAGTGTTACGTTCCCAATGGCTGATGGGTGCTTATGTCGATAGGGGGACATTGAAGTGAGTAAGAAGCCGCTTGCCTGGGACTGAGCCTCAGGGAGGGGAAGGATTTTGGGGAAGGATGTGAGCAATTTTTGTTCTCGTCTGCCGTTTCTCCCCTCTCCTGGGCTCATGGCTTAGTTCTCGTGTTGCGCCCGTTCTTGAATGTCCCCGTCTCCCCAGGCCATAAGCCCAGCTGATGGAACGAGGAGCGAGTAGAAGTATATGGGAGGGTATTACTGAGTCTGAAAAACAGTTCTGCAAGTCAGCGGAAATGCATGGAGGCGATCAATAAGAGGTTCACAAGGAGAGAACATTCTTCCTTATTGAGGATGGCTTGTTGATGGAGAGAAGAAGATCCCACCGTACCCCTTGACTAGCAGCGCCGTGCAGAGGAAGTTGGATTCACTGTAGTGGGTGACCATTTAATAAAACGGTTAGGGAGTATCGTATAGATGCCCTCCAGATTCTGTTTACTTCGTATAGCATACATTATGGCGTCTTATAAGTATATAAAGAGGAAGGGACTCAGAGGCTGAAGTGTGGCACTGCACTTGAAATTCCTCGGGATCAAATCAGCCCGCCTCAACCAAACTTCTTACCCCTTCGAGGGTGATAGTCGAGATCGGTAACACATGGTACAAGGGGGGGGGGGGGAATGGTAAGAGCAATGACTCAACGCTAATACATATAACCTCAGTAGATCAATGTTTAGCGTAAATATGCATGCTAAATTCACGACGACTTTGCCATGGGAACTACAAGGAAGGTCTTTCAGGGTGTGCCAAGCTTTTTCAAAACGGTCTTTTGCATGATATAGAGGCACATGCGGGAACCACAGAACCATGGTTAATTTTTCCTGAACGGCCCTCTGAATACCAGAAAAGGGGGTCCCTAGTCACACCTTTTTCACCAGTTTTTCAATCAAAGTCTATTTGTAAGGGTTACTGACGTTCCTAATCATGAATTTGGTACTAATTATTCATGCTAA